CCCCCCCCCCTCCCCTTCAAAATAAGGAAGGTCACCTTAGCTGTACCAAGCACAGTAGTTAGAAAAATATGAAAGCATTTTGATTTGTTTCTATTTGGTCTCGACGAATGTGACTACAAACCATGCTTCTGAGAAAATTGGCACGAGGCCCTCCTATCTAAACTTCATTTTGTGAGTTTGAACTCCATCTCATTTCAATCAAAAATACAACTATCACTGATATATTTTATACATAATCTAATCAAACAATAAGTTTTGTATAAGGTTTTCATAGTATACTAGAGACGGATTTATTGTAAAGGAAGTAAGGAACTTAGCAACATGACGTGAAGTATTCTGCTAGAACTACCTTACGACTGTGCCTAGGCCTAGTCTAATTGATTTGATTGGGCCATACTTGTCGTTTTGAGTTTAGGATTGGCCCATTCATCAATCCCACTATGAGTTGGACTTCATCACTCACCAGCTAAATCTTAACGCAGTTCGACATCGTTTTAGTTACATTCCTGTCACTTCTGTCTTTATCCGTAGGTGCAATAACATATTTTATTGAGGAAATTATACAAATAGCCCTTAAATTATGGCTCTTATATTAATTAAATCCTTGAATTAATTTTTGTATCAATTGAACCCCTAAACTCTAAAATTTTAGCAATTCAACCCTTATGTCGGCAACCGTTAGGTTTGGACAGAATGTCTCACGTTGCTTACCACATTAAACTTATCAGACGAATAACTTCATTCCTTATACCTATCCACGTTAACTTTAACCTAAATCTCTTTCATACCCATCAAACGAAGTAGATCAGTAAACTCTTTGATCTAATGTAAAAAATAAATTACATAAATGTAGGCTTTTCTAAAAGTCTACTAATCTATTTCATTTGATTGGTATGAAATAGGTTTAGATTTAGGGTTTTGGTTGATAAATATAAGGAATGGAGTTCTTTGTCTAATAAATTTCAAATGAATAGTCTAAAATATTTCTAATTTATTGTTCGTGTGGTGAGCGCATGAGTCATTCAGTCCAAAAACCTAACAGTTGTTGACAAAATGGGTTAATTACTAAAATTTTAAAGTTTAAAGGCTAAATTTATATAAAAATTAATTTATAATTTTAATTGACATAAGAGGGTCATTCTTATAGTTTAATCTTTTTTATTTCCACCATTCCATTCTATTAATGTATTAATTTTTGACTTAAACACGAACTCGATAAGAACCTAAAAATAACATAATTAGTTGATCCGAATAATACATAGGTCAAATCAAAGTTCGACATGAATAACACGATTAATAGTTATAGTAGATATAAAATAATTATTTAATGAGTACTATAGATAGAAAATAAAAATTTTATAATTTTTTAAATAATATTATATTAATTATTATTAAATTAAATAAATTTTTATTAACACAAATATTGGCACGAACCCGACCCATATTAAAAATGTTACGACATAAAAATAATATGATCAAAAATAACATCACGACGAGACTGACACCCTTGCATTCTATCTCTATATATAAATAGCATTGGCCACTGTGGTTCTACAGAATCTCTCCCTCATTCATTATACATACCTTTTCAGCTGTGCTACGTTTTCATTGCTTTCCTTAAAATATCTGCAAAGTCGTCACCTTTTTCCTCCAAAGATTCTTCCCTATTCCATAACAAAAAAAGATTATCAATTCCTACGACAACGCTCCAAGAATTTGCTCCTTTCTGTCTTCCACACACTTAATCCTTACTGCGAAATTCGTCGGATTCACGGTTTTCCAATCAAAATTCAAGCCTTTTCTTTCCGTTTCTGTTGGATTCTTCCCTTTTGTAAGATTGGAATTTGGTATTGAAAAGCATTTAATTAATGCCGTTTGTAATTGAGGTTGGAGGTATGAATTAAAGCTTAATTGTGTAGGATTTGAAGTATAATAGTATTGGGAGTTTTTGTATTGAGAAGGGAAGAAATGGAACAGTACGAGCTTGTGAAGGATATAGGATCTGGAAATTTCGGGGTTGCGAGGCTTATGAGGCACAAGGAAACCAAAGAGCTCGTCGCCATGAAGTACATAGACAGAGGATACAGGGTGGGTTCGTAAAAATTATATATTTCTTCTCAATGAAATGTGTATGAACATTATGTATAGTTATGCGTGTCTGTTTGTATATATTCATGAAAATCTTTCATTTGAACAAGTCTCTCTCTCCCTCTGTTTGAGTAATTGAACAGATTCGATTGGATTTCACATATTTGTCTGGAGTTATTTTTGTCACAGATCGATGAGAATGTGGCGCGGGAAATCATAAATCATAGATCTCTTCGACATCCAAACATTATTCGATTCAAGGAGGCACGTACCCTTTTCCTCTCTCTCTCTCATTGATGGGTTTATAGCTAAATAAAGAAGCTTTAATCTGCTTATGTTGTAGTTTGATGGGTTCATACGTGTAAGCATAGATTTGTTTACCTCTGATCTGGGTTTTGGATTAATAGGTGTTGGTGACTCCTACCCATCTAGCTATTGTCATGGAGTATGCAGCGGGGGGTGAGCTCTTTGAACGAATTTGCACTGCTGGAAGATTCAGTGAGGATGAGGTTTCATAATTTCTTCTGAACTATGTGGAGACCTGAACTTTAAGGATATATAGGCCCCATATATTTATTTTAGTAGCTTTTATAGAGACTTCAACATTGCAAATGTAAAGGCCGTACATGTTGGTTTCATAATTTTAGCATTTTGCTTTTCAGCTGGTTGATGTTTTTTTTTCCCCAAACTTTCAGGCTAGATACTTCTTCCAGCAGCTTATCTCTGGAGTCCACTACTGTCATCATATGGTAAAAGACGTTCGATAGGAAATACATTTTTTAGTATGTGATTAATGTAATTAATCTTGTTAGGTTTGTTGCATGTTATTTTCTTTTTCTTTTATTTGATTTTTTTCAACTTGAAAATTGCATATCCTAGATTAATATTCATGTCATGTAGCAAATATGCCATAGAGATTTGAAACTGGAGAATACCCTTTTGGATGGAAGTCCTGCTCCAAGGCTGAAAATCTGCGATTTTGGTTATTCCAAGGTATACCTTATTAACTCAATGTTTACAGTAACTTATGATGTGAAACCCATCTACTTAGTGCCTTTATTTCTCTCGCGTAGTCATCTCTTCTGCACTCAAGACCCAAATCAACAGTCGGCACGCCAGCGTATATTGCTCCAGAGGTTCTTTCTCGAAGGGAGTATGATGGCAAGGTTAGTCTGTTCTTCTCTACGTGTGCATACCATTGTGCGTGAAGCTATTGAATTATATCTCTGCTCCCTGGGCCCCTGTCTTCTGTTGTCCCTCATCAAGATCTAATTTTTTGGTTTCACCTGTCTATTTGTGCTTGATTTGGAAATATGCATATTATTATTCTCGGCTGAATGAACACTCATAATTGAGTTGTCGTAAACAACAGCTTCCTTTGAAACCATGTTCAGAACTCCTTTTAATCTCTCTCTCGTTGCCTGTGTGGGTGTGGAGGTATGCATATTTTTCACTTTCCAGGTTTTGCTTAATTTTGGTTTGTGCTTGTTCAGCTGGCCGATGTATGGTCATGCGGAGTGACACTTTATGTTATGCTGGTGGGAGCATACCCTTTCGAGGACCAGGAAGATCCAAAGAATTTCAGGAAGACAATTCAAGTAGGTTTTCATCTGCTTTTTTCTTTCAAATACACTATTTTAGAAGGTGGAAAGTACTTTCAAATAGGATAATACACATGTTTTTGGTGTTCTTTACATTTCAAGAAAACATGTTTTTGGCTGTTTATAACAATATATTTTCTCATTCTTCTTCAGCGAATAGTTGCTGTACAATACAAGATCCCTGACTATGTTCACATATCTCAAGATTGTAGACACCTCCTTTCTCGCATATTTGTCGCCAATGCAGCCAGGGTAAGTCTGACTGTGAAATTAGTGAACTTTATTTGAAGAACTGTAATCTACTTCTCACAAAGTCAAATTGTATCAAATTAGTTTTCCTTGTGTTTGTATCAAACTTTGGTTGTGTTATCAAGATTAACCATTTTCATTCTCATTTTTCCATTAACCTTGGTTGTGTTATCAAGATTACATGACATTAGTTTTGTAAGCCGCACATTCTTTGCAGCCAGTTGCCTTGCCATGTAGGAACCATTTTGGCTTTCTATTTGCTTCAGATTCTGCATGGAACTAATGGTAGGATGTATACTTAGGTTCCCCTTTAGTTCCTAGCAACAAGTGGGCTTGATGGAACTCTGGAATCTACTTATTTGTTACTTGTACAGTTTGTCTTCTATCTTAGTCTGAACTTTATTAAACATATCCTAAGGCTTCAACATCTTTCTGCATTCTGGAATAGTGAGAAATCCCTACTTTTTTCAAAGTTGTATTGGTGTGTGGAATTCTAGAGGAATATTGGAAGAAAGAAGAAACATGATCTTGAATGTATTATCATGTGATAAACAAAAATAATCTGCATGACTGAGGTTACACGAACAAAAATAAACTGCATGACCAAAGTCAAGAACTTCTTTTGTAGAGGAGTATTGCACACCCCTTTTCCATCCATATTGAAACTGAAGTTGAGTGATAATGCAGCAATCAAATATTGATTTCATGCCATTGCTATTTGCTATAAATGAAACAATGGGGATCAATGATCTTGGTGGTTCTGCTCTGGATTTTTGGTTTCGTAGTCATAGAATGTAAAAGCCTCATTCAGTTCCCTTTGAGTTGTTATAAGTGAACCAACATTATTTGATGCTCTTGCCTCCATAGAAATTAGTTCATTTTCTTTCGTAATTCATAATTACAAGCATTTTGCATTATATTTCTCCTAACCTTGGGCCTTTATAATATTATTTGTTTTCTAATAGACTTAAAAAAAAATTTCACTTGATGGCTCCTCAAAAGTATATTGTTTATAGCAGTTCAAATGCTGCAAAGGGTGTTTACCTTTGAAAGCTGTGCCTTCTGTTATTGTTAGGATACTTAGGTGTATCTTTACTTAGCGATAATTCCTTGTCATTTACTTGTAAAACAGTCTGGGAATAGGGTATGCTTTATGCTTAAAAGAGGCCGAAGCAAAGGAATTCATTTGATTCCAGGTTGATGGGTCAGGTAGAAGAATAGCAAAAGGATTTGATTACAGTGTTCACTCTAGAAGATCCCTTGGTCTTCCACTATGATTCTAACTGAATGATATGGAAATGCTTAGCAATACCTTATGTCTTGATCCATACATGCACTTCTGCCAAGGGTTTGATGCTTGTATTATAGTTTGATTTGCATTGTTCAATTCATTTTTGTGCTCTTTAATCTGACACCTAACTCCCAACATAAAAGGGTGGGCTGTTCCCTAAACCATTCGTATTTTGCAGAGGATAACACTTAAAGAAATCAAGGACCACCCATGGTTTCTGAAGAACTTGCCAAGAGAATTAACAGAAGCAGCTCAAACCATCTACTACAGGAAAGAAAACCCGACGTTTTCCCTTCAGAGTGTAGAGGAGATCATGAAAATCGTGGAAGAGGCCAGGACACCTCCCCCTGCTTCCCGTTCAATTGGAGGCTTTGGCTGGGGAGGAGAACAAGACGAGGGAAAGGAAGACGATATTGAGGGTGAGGAGGAGGAGGAGGAGGAAGAAGAAGAAGAAGAAGACAAGTACGATAAGAGAGTGAAGGAGGCACATGAAAGTGGAGAAGTTCATCTCACTTGAGGTCTAATTTTATCTCTTTACACTGGTACTCATTTAGGATTTATTTATTGGAATCCACCAACTTCAGGATGGCTGGGTAGAAATCAGTCAACACTGCTCAAGACCTTGGGCTTAATAAAGTCTGTAGTTTTATAAGATTATGAGTCAAGAGTTTTGATAATTGCTGTTGTGTGTGGTAGGTGCTGTTGTGGACTAGAAAGCAAATTGTACTCAGGTACAGGTTTGAGCTCAAGTTGAGAATTAATTATTTTGGGTAGGTAAGTTGATAATTTTTTTTTTATTATACTCTTGAGGATTATAAAGTATTGCAGATATCATGCAGGTGGTCACATTCATAAAAAATAACTTGTTTGCTATATCATGTGTTTTATTTTTACTCTGGTTTTTTTTTTTTGTCTTCACATTATATATTAAAAGGAGTCCGGTGATGCCTACTGTGACTTTGATCTTGAGCCATCAGAATCTCAAGTGATAACAGAGATAAATTCACATATCATGAGTTTGAATGTTGACAACTCATTAGAATTAGATATGAGGAATTTATCCTTTATGAATATTCTAGTCCCGTAGGTGGTCTGTTTTTGACTAAACCGGAGAGGGATTAATTGAGATGTGTGTAAACTAACCTGGACAACCAGACCGTTGAATAAAAAAAATTAAAAAATCTTGATCCATCAGGGCTGTCATATTTGAATCTTTCCTTCTTGGTCCTAATTGCAAGTAAAAAAAGTTTAGAGAGGTGAGAAGAGAAAGTGAAGGGAAATGAAGGGAGAAGTATTCCAACTTCCAATAGAGAATTTGGGAGACATGTTTTCCTTTTGGGAAGCAACTCCAAGGGGGGTGGCAATCCCATATGCCACCTCAAATTTAAAATTTTGGGCTCCAAAGGGGTGGTATATGAGGTTAAAAATAGNTAGATATGAGGAATTTATCCTTTATGAATATTCTAGTCCCGTAGGTGGTCTGTTTTTGACTAAACCGGAGAGGGATTAATTGAGATGTGTGTAAACTAACCTGGACAACCAGACCGTTGAATAAAAAAAATTAAAAAATCTTGATCCATCAGGGCTGTCATATTTGAATCTTTCCTTCTTGGTCCTAATTGCAAGTAAAAAAAGTTTAGAGAGGTGAGAAGAGAAAGTGAAGGGAAATGAAGGGAGAAGTATTCCAACTTCCAATAGAGAAATTGGGAGACATGTTTTCCTTTTGGGAAGCAACTCCAAGGGGGGTGGCAATCCCATATGCCACTTCAAATTTAAAATTTTGGGCTCCAAAGGGGTGGTATATGAGGTTAAAAATAACATCAAGGCATTTAAGGTGGTATTTTTGGCAATTTTGGAGAGAGAAATGAGAGGTTGTAAATGAGTTGATGAATATAGATCCGTTGGATAAATATAGATCTAACGATTCATATAAATTGATGAATAAAAATGTGAATATGACATCTCATTTTGGCACCTGTTATTAGAGCAGATTTATAATTCAATGGTGCTAAAATACTGTTCAATATTACAAATGAGTAATTTAACACTCCAAANATTTTTTTTTCCTTCTTGTTCGGGTTTGCTTCTTTCTTTTTGTTTTTTTCCTTGTTTCTTTCTTGTTTTAGTTTGTTTTTTTTTTGTTTTTTTTTCCATGTTTGAGCATGTTTGGTTTTTTTCGCTTGTTTGGTTTATTATTCTTATTTGGTAATATATTTATGTATTCAAACTAACTGTCTTCTTTTATTATTTTTTTTTTCTTACGATAACTTTTTTCATTAAAGAGGTGTATATAGAGTAAGTGAATTTTACTATTAATGAATACATTTAAACTAATTGTCTTCTTTTATTATTTTTTTCTTACGATAACTTTTTTCATTAAAGGGGTGTATATAAAATGAGTAAGTTTTACTATTAATGGGGTGTATGTAGCATAGAGTGGGCTTAGTTACAAATAAGATGTGTATAAAAATGATGAACTTAATAATTTGATAATGAAAAAGTAAATGGGGTGGGAATAATCCAACCCAAATAAAAAAGATGGAATAATTGAAGGCTAAGGGGGGAGGAGAGAGAAGTAAAGCTGGTGTTGGATCTAGATCCTCCCTATTATCCTTTTACTCAATTTTATTCATGGGTAGATCATCAATGGTATATGAACAAAGGATTCACATATAAACAATGGGTCCCATGTGAATACGTGATAAATGATCTACCAATAAATAAAATTGAGTGAAAGTACAATGAAAATGATCTCAATCCCTTTCAAATAATAGTTTTTCATCACAAGAACAAAGAAAATGTTGTAGCATAAGTGGGATGAAGTCCCATCATCTTCCTAATGGTGTTATATTTGATTCGTCTCATCTTGAATTTTTGTATAATTGTTTTTAATTTTGCAGTAATTTATCTAAAACTAAATTAAGAAATATAAAATTTGTCAATTTCATCATAAAATACCAATTAAATAAAATATTCTTGTTTGGCATTAAATAAATCAATTTATTCATGATTATGTCATTTTCAAACTCTTATACTAACTCATGGAATTGGAAATAGATTTAACCAAAACATTGAGTGCATGTTTGGTTGAGGTATTAACAAATGATAGGATTGAGTAATTAGTTCTTATTCAATCTATATAAATGATATTGTTGAGAACATCTTCAATCTTTATTTTTTTTTAAACCCAAATTTAAATTTGGGTAAAAAATTATTAAAATTTTTTTCTAATGTTAAACTCATACTCATATCAAATTAAAGGAGACTCGTTTTTTTACACAAATAAAAGGAGATTCAAATTCATACACAAATCTTTAATTGTGAAATTTCACCTTCATTTCAAGATCTAATGATTATATTTCACTTTTTTTTTAAAATTTAAATTTGTCCTCATTTAAATTTGAATTTCTCTTTATTTTCTCTATTGATGGTGTTTATACCTTTTTGCCCATGAGAGGTTGTGTTTGGGTTTCCATGGTCAAAGAGTATCATTTTATAACAAGTTTTGATCAAAGTTCGAATAAGGTATAAATCTATAATTATAACACTGAATTCATGTCTAGAGTAGGAAATAGTGTATGATATTAAATTAAAAATGACAAAACAAGGCGAGAGTTTATAGAATGTCTAGCGCTTTTATATGAGGGTGTAGATCTAGATTTATAAGGGTAATAAAGTCATTGTATATTTAATACTGAACATGTTAAAAATAATAGCACCTACCATATAGTATCTATTAATACCTAATATGAGATGTTAAATGATAATAGTGAATCGGATCGGAATTAATAAAAGTTAATATCAAATCGTTAAAACATAATCCAAACTTGGTATTACATCGTTACCAAATTAAATTAATGCGATCCAAACGTACTAATAACTTTAGTAAATGTTATTTATATGGGGTGGTCAACAGTAGGAGGTAGCCCCCAAACATGGTAACATGGGCACCTTGTGCCCTTGCATGACTCAATTGACCACAGTCCCATGTGCCCGGATACCAAGTCGGTGGAATTTCCTTATTTTTGTTTAGAAGGAAGATGATAATTTCTTTTTCTTCTTCTTTTTCTTTTTTTTTTTTTTACTTTTTAGTAGTTTGGTTAGTGGACAATATTTGTTAAGAGTGTTTCAATTAAAAAAAAGGAAAGTAATTTTTTTTTTTTTTTACAAAAGGAAAAGCTTGATTGTTTTGAAAAACATAATTTCACATTTGAAAAAGATTAAAAATTGAAAGAATTTTTTTTTTGGCTTAATAAAACTTAAAAGAGTTTTATTTTCATGGGATTGACTAAATAGAGGAAAGTATATGATAGATATGATAGATGTATACCACTTAAGTTAAAAGAAAAGTTTAATAGAATAGCAATAAGGACAACTACATATATTTTACGGTACTAAGTATTGGGNAATTGAAAGAATTTTTTTTTTGGCTTAATAAAACTTAAAAGAGTTTTATTTTCATGGGATTGACTAAATAGAGGAAAGTATATGATATATATGATAGATGTATACCACTTAAGTTAAAAGAAAAGTTTAATAGAATAGCAATAAGGACAACTACATAAATTTTACGGTACTAAGTATTGGACAACTAAGAAATAATCCTTTCAAAATTTAAGTTTGATGAAAATAATAATATTAAAGTAGATGTGTGAGAAAACTAGCAAAATAGTCCATCGTCCGGGGGCGGGGGGGAATTTCGCACCTTTGTTTGATGATAATGATTTGGAAACTGAGTTTTTAGTTTTGAGAGAAACGAACAAAGTGTATTTTTTTCAATAAAACGAACAAACTGCGAGGACCAGTGGTTATCTATCCATAGGTATTCAATGCCTAAGTTAGTAAAGATCTGAGATTAAACAAGTGAATCGTAGGGAAAGAAGTATATACCTTCAGACTTAAGTTCATGCGGCATTTATAGCAGTATCTTTCGACTAATTCGGGCTTAGAATTCTAATAGGAGAAGGTGGCACACCCTCAAGCCCTCACCATAGCTAGACTCATTCAGTCAAATCCAGCTTTCAGATTGGTCTTCGTTACTATTATATGGAGTTAGGTTCTTATTCAAATTTCAGTTTTAGAGTATATCTTTCTAGCATACTTCATTAGGTTTTGCTCGGCACACACTTTCAGGCTCAGGAACGCTTGGCTTGCTGAGTAGATCACTTTCAATTGATCTCTAACATGGTCAAGTCTAATCCAATCTGCTTGATTGAATCCAAAGCTGTTCGGTTCAGTTATAATCTACTCGGTTGAGGTACTTGCTCAGTTAAGGTACTATCATTTCAAATGGTTCTTTTTAGCACGTGCTAATTGCCACGTGACCTAGTCCAAATATAATTAAGTATATCGTTGAAAATTAAAGGTAGCGTGTTTAAGAGATAAATTAAAACAGAACCGGCTTAACTAGTTTTGACATATTACAGTATTGATGATTTAGTAGCTATTGACGGTAAGTGTAAGGATAGAAGAAGACCAAAATTAACTTTAAATTAAATAATAAAAAAATATATGATAATTTATAATTTAACATAAAAAAATAACTCTTAAGTTTTCAATTATTTTCGCTCTCAAAACCATGCATAGTATTATAAAAGTTCTTGTACTATAGAATTTTTAAGGCGATATGTTTCCCTTACAGGAGCCTGCTTTGTAGTTTGTAAAATAGTTGATATTAGTGAGAAATAAAAAAAATATATTATTTTTTTTCAAACTGGATGAAAGAATCTAGGCAATTACAAGAATGTTATTGTGACCTTCAATACTTTTGATGTTGTAAACTAAACTATTACTAGAACTTGAATAGCTTTCATCTTCATCAATTGCATGTAAGAAAACTTTTATTATCCTTCT